TTCTTCTTTACCTTAAAGAGTTAGTTGTTTAGTATATCAAAGGCTTAAACCTTTAACCTTGCCCTCAAATCCAAGGTTTTTTTTATTAATGGATACAAGTTTAATTAAATTCTTGTTAATCACTACTTAAATAAGCATTTAGTTTTTAAAACAAAAGATTTAGATAAAACTTTAGCATATTAAATGAATACAAATTGAAAATTTTCTCTTTTGTATATTTCCTTTTTGTTTGGTAATTTCACTTGATCAAAAAACATTTTCAATTTTCATATCCATCTTGGAATAATAATATTTTTTATTTAAAATTTGTCTAAAAAATAATAATTTTTGGTCATATTTTAAGAGAGGCAAATATTTGTTTCTACCTTAACTTTATCATTTTCTCTTGAATTTAATTATTTATCTTATCATAAAAAAGTCTCATTAGTTTTATTTCTTTTTTAATTATAATATAGGTAAAATTATAAAATTTCCCCAAAACCTTAATATAAAAGTAAAAAAAAAAAAACAACTATTATTTTAGGATGGAGAGATTAACAGAATATTTGATTTAAAGGAAATGGCGGAAGGGTCCATTCTCCTCCAATCCCCTCATTTGAATAAGCCCCCTTCCCTTCCAAATATTTTACTAACTAAATAGAAGAATTTTCACCATTCTCTTCTCTCAAATCAAATATATTATAAAGGAAAAAAAGGTCTATCTCCTATTATACAACTCATTATTTAATGTATCAAAAATTCTACTATGGAGGGAGTATAACAAATTTTGACTTAATTTTTTTAAAAAGTAAAAAAATCAAACAAAAATAACTCTTGTGGAATGGAGGGAGTAGTAATTATCTCTTTAAAGTAATAGTAAAATGGAGATAAATGTATTAAATAATTTTAAACATAAAGTTGGACAACTACATTAAATTTGGTTTTTTTCTTGAATTGGTGAGAATCTTATATTCTTTCTATTTTATTTTTATTGAAGTGTCTTTGTATTAATTTGAGTGAGCCAAAGCATACATTTAATTCTTTACCTAATTATATTTGAAACTTTCAGTCTTTTACCTTGCACTATAAAATTTTTAATTCATAAACTTAAAAAGTTTGAAGATTTTAGCACCTAAATTAACAGAATCCATTAACCCTCCATTAAAATGATAATAGAAAATTTACAAGACCAGTCCCCAAAAATTGAAAAGTTGATAATTTAGTCCTAAAAGTTTATAAATTAAAAAATTAGTAAACTAAAAAAACTAATGGATGATTTTGCCACATCCACTAGAACAATATTAGATATCTACAATCTAATTAAGTGATTAGTTCAATTTAAAAAAATAATTTTGACTAAAATTAAAGAAAATTTTTTCATTGAGTTAAGATAGAAAGTTCGAGAACTCGAAAAATAAATCCAAATGATGAAAGTGTATAATCATACAATTGACAAGTCAAATCTCTAAGTAGAGTATGCTAATGATTTCTCTAAATTTGACATGTTAATTGTACAATTATACACTTTTATCTATTGGATTTATTCTTTCAGTGTTTTGGACTTCTTATCTTAACTCAATGAAGAAATTTTATTTAATCTCAATTAGAATTTTTTCTTCAAATTAAACTAATCACTTGATTTGATTGTAAATATCTAATGTTGTTCTCGGATATGTGGTAGAGTCATGCATTAATTCTTTTAAACTTTTGGGACTAAATTATCACTTTTTTTTTTAATTTTTAAGGACTGATCTTGTAAATTTTTTTATTCTCACTTTTAGATTCTATTAGCCTAGGGATGAAATCTTTAAACTTTTAAGTTTAAATCTAAAAACTCCATAATGTAAGATAAGGAATTAAATGCTTCAAACTTAATAAGATAAGCTACACGCATGTTAACCAATTTGAGAACACTTTTCCCATTGCCTTAAGAGTGCACTTTCTACGTAAGTGCAGATAGATTTAAGAAAATTAAATTCACTTCATGATTGTCTCCAAAAACTAAATCTTAAAAGCCTATTTAATTTGAACGAAAGGGATGGAGAGAAGGAGAGGGAAGATATATTATTTAGACCAATCAAACTAAGATGTTGGCTTGACAACTTAATTTGAGGTCAAAATAGTTTTTTCTCCTTCCCTGAAACTATATACTCGCAAAATTTAACATATAAAATAATACTTATTTACTTGTAAATTCAACACTTGAATTATTTTTTAATTATTTTATGCAAATTTAGCTTTAATATATACTTCAAGAATGCAAATAAAAAATATACTACTCCTTTCCAAAATAATAATAATTTTTTTATGAAAAATTTAATCCAAATTGTTTTTTATTTTTTTATTTTTTTAAATTTTTAGTGTAGACTAGTGTTTTTTCTTCCTTTAATTTTATTATTATTCCTTAACTTTAATTATCCACTCTATTACCAAAATTTTTCTTTATTTTTATCTTCTTTGTTAAGAGTAATATATGTAATTATGTAAGAGAATAATACATATCAATCTCAATTCTCAAAAAAAAAATTGGAGTCACAACTCTAAAATTACCACCATTCAATAAATATTTTTAAAAACCAATAATTAAATTTAAATTTTTATTAGTATATATAATTCATGCCAATTTTCAAGTTGATTTAATATTTATAAGTAATTGATCAAGAAATCGTATTTTCTAACATATGTCTAATGGTTTTCAATTTTGTCTATTGAATCAATCTAAAATTTGGTATGCATAATTTACAAAAATAGATTAGTTGATCCAATGGTTGGTTTTTGAAACCTATTTACTTTACTTTCTAAAAATTAAGAGGAAAAGTGCTCCAAAATTACGTCCCTATAATAAATTTTCATTGTAAAAAGACTATAATATCCTATTTATAAAATATAAATTAGACTTTTTTTTTCTTTTCTCATGATGTTTTATGGAAGGAAAGTGATTGGTACACCCTTTAATTCAACACCCGATTCAACACCCTCCGGTTTAGTCATTAAAAAATCACTATTTTTTAGTCTGAAATTAAAAACAGACAAGTATAATGATACAATCATGCATACAACATACATGAACCGACTGAATTAACTGTATTTATATTATATTTTTAATGACTAAATCAAAGGGTGTTGAATCGGGTGTTGAATCGGGTGTTGAATCAGAGGGTGTACAAATCATTTCCCTTTATGGAAACTATATAGTTTCAAGATGATTTTTTTCTTAATTTTTAAGAGATAAGATAGATAAAACTAAACTAACTTTTGTATATATATATATATATATAAATAGAGATTAATGCGTATTAGTTTCGATTTTAAAAAATAGTTGGAGTTCCAACTTACATTTGAAAATTGAAATCTCATCCTATTAAATATTGATATCTAAATTTGAAAAATCATTATATATTCTAATATAATCAGTTTCTAAATTTAAATATTAACATTTAATAAAATAATTTTTTAAATTTTAAATTGATTTTTAATTAAATAAAATGACATAATTTAAGATTATGATTCCAATTATTTTTAAGAGTTAGGAATGATATGCAATTTTTCCATATAAATATATATGTTTCACCAATTAATAGTACACATAAAATAAGAGTTTTTCGAATCTTTAGTTACCTGTTAAAAATGTAATTAATACCTTTTAAAAAATTAATTAATATTAAAAGACAAAAATTAATTTTTATTTAATTAATTATCTACTTAAAATGATCAACATAAAATTAGTAATAAAATTAAGAGATTAGTGTGTATCAACTCCCAAAAATAATTGGAGTCTCAACCTATATCTGAAAAACTAAAATCTGATCTTATTAAATGTTGATATTTAGATTTAAAAACTTATTATATATTTTAATATAATCATTTTTAAATTTAAATATCAATATTTAATATAATAATTTTTAAAATTTTGAATTAAGTTTTAATTAACTAAAATGATATAATTTAAGGCTGAGATTGGAATTTATTTTGAAAGGTAGGATTGATATGCATTTTTTAAAAAATTAATGCTATTTTTTATTTTTTTAATGTCAATTAATGTTTAAAAAATATATTATTTACACTATTAACTTCTCCGCTAAATGTTAGAAGAACCCAATCTATATACTTCTTAACCTAGATCCCCACACCCCGGCCAATGGTTGAGACCCTTAGTCAAGTGGGATCACCTTCCATAGGTTACGGTTTCAAGTCCCATGAATGACATTTCTCCTTCCCTAATTGCCCTGTTAAAAAAAAAAAAAAAATTCTTAACCTAAATTTCTAACCAATTGAGCTGAGGCTGCTTGTAATCTCAATTCATGCAGGGAGGGGTGGTACCAGCCCCACTCAATTAGCTTTTCAAAAGAAAAAGGAAACTGAAAGATGAATAATAATAATAAGCCTAACGGATCTGAAGTGCCTAAAAAAAAAAAAAAAAAAGGCGGATCTGAAAAATATAGCCGTTGCGAGTTGTAACGGCTACTTTCCGCTGCCCTTGCCCACATCTTTTTAATAAGTAGCAATCCCCTTTAATTCAAATCGATAACAAAAAAAATCTCTGAAGCTGATCTTCATATTTGGAAATCCACTTCAAAGCAACACCTGAGATCTCATTTTCTTTCCAATTCGAAGCCAGCAGTTAAGATCTTTTTCATTTTCACACCGCCAAAAATCAATTCATTTTTCTTTGTCTCTGTTTCCTCTACGGTCTACATCACGCGTTCGCAGCTCCTCAATACGTAAATTGCAATCCTTCATTTCGTTAATGCACTCTTTGTTTCTTTTTCCTGGTTAAATTATGTCATTTGTAGATTGCTCATTTCACGAAAGTTCAATTTTATCATAAATCAATCCATTTCTCGGTTCCCACTAGAGCAAGGGGCTCCTGCATTTCAAGCATTTTTTTTTGTCGAATTGCTTTATTTATAGAATACCCATTTCATTAAATTGCAATTTTGTGTTATTTTTTTGTTGAATTTGGTTAAAGATTCAAACTTAAGCATTTTTCTCTTTTCTGTTTAGTTCTTTCTTTTTGGGTGAACAAAACCCATTTTTTTGAATTTTTGAACCAACTTTATCTTCTGGTTTAATTTTTAGGTCCGTGGAAGAGTTCCAGAGAGCAAAGATGAATGATCTTATGACAAAATCTTGGACCAGCTATGTAGATCTTAAGAAAGAAGCCATGAGAGACCTTGAAGCTGGACCGGACTATGATCTGGAGATGTCAACGGCAAACTCCATGGACCATAACATGGGGCTGTTCCTGGAAGAGGCTGAGAAAGTGAAGCAAGAGATGGGAGTGATCCGGGAAATCTTGGGTAGGCTCCAAGAAGCCAATGAGGAAAGCAAGTCATTGCACAAACCTGAGTCCTTGAAATCCCTGAGGAACAAAATCAACAGTGATATTGTCACTGTGCTGAAAAAGGCCAGGACAATTAGGGCACAGCTTGAAGAAATGGACCGCGCAAATGCAGCTAACAAGCGCCTTTCAGGGTGCAAAGAAGGCACCCCAATTTACAGAACCAGGATTGCTGTCACCAATGGCCTGAGGAAGAAGTTGAAGGAGCTGATGATGGATTTTCAGGGGTTGAGGCAGAAGATGATGACTGAGTACAAGGAGACTGTGGGGAGAAGGTATTTCACAGTGACTGGAGAGCACCCAAATGAGGAAGTCATTGAGAAAATAATCTGTGATGGGAGTGGGGGTGAGGAGTTCTTCTCGCGGGCAATTCAGGAGCATGGGAAAGGGAAGGTATTGGAGACAGTAGTGGAGATACAGGACAGGCATGACACGGCCAAAGAGATTGAGAAGAGTTTGCTAGAGCTGCACCAGGTATTCTTGGACATGGCAGTGATGGTGGAGGCTCAGGGGGAGCAGATGGATGATATTGAGCATCATGTGATGAATGCCAGCCATTACGTGAAGGATGGTACAAAGGAGCTGGGGACAGCAAAGAAATATCAGAGAAGCAGCAGGAAGTGGCTCTGTATTGGGGTGATTCTTCTACTATTGATTGTTCTCGTGATTATCATCCCAATTGCTACAAGTTTCAGCAGCTCATGAATTTGAATGTTGATAGAAGAACTTACAGCCCAGTTCTTCATCCTTTTGTTCCTTTCACTTTAAGAATGCATTTCCATAGATAGAACAAGTTTCAGTCCTTTTGTTGGGACTGGCATTTTAGGTTTCAAGGGTTCAATGTTGGTTTTATTCTTTCATTGATGACATTGTTTAAATTTAATGTGTGATCTGAATCTACCATATATAAGATTTACTGTTAAGTTCAGCTGCTGTGTTCATTTATTGCAGAAGTTTTGTATATAATTCTTGCTAATTAAGATATCCTGAGAAATGAAAAGAGACAAAAGAAGGATGACGTTGTTGGGGGGAAATAAAACTGACTCCAGATTGAATTTAATCTCTATATACTCCTAACAAATAGAAATTTTGAAAAAAAAAATGGCGCAAAGAGTGTTCAAAGTAAATAGAAGTACTTTGAGCTGTACATTTCTGGGAAAATAACAGGATCAAGGTAAACATATAAGTAAAATCTATCTTAGCTTCCTAAGTGGAAGTGCTCGTCCAAAGAGTTTCTCCACCTCACTTGCCTCCATTTTTAACTCACTTAGCAGTTCCATCTCTTCTTTACCGAGCCCCTTCAAGAAATTTTCTTCATCTTTCTGTAGCTCTTTAAACCCTTCTACCAACCTCTGCAACAAAGTCATCTCAGTCTTACCTACCTTCTCTACCTCCTTCTCTACTTGCCCCTCTATCTCCTCAACTTCCCTTATGATGGTCCTCTCCCCTTCCTCCACTTTCTTCTCCAGTCTTTCTACGAGGGGAGGCTCTGGTCCACAAGTATTATCAGTTCTGATGAATGTGCTGAAGTCTCGGCCTACGCTTTTGGCTGCTTTTTCAAGTTCAGGTACAATGCTTTCGGGCAAAACCACACTTCTTGTATATACTACAGCACCACCATAACCATCCCATGCATCATTCCTCCCCTGGTAGTACACAAATATATAATCATCTTGTTTATTCTCTATTTTGGATGACAGAATATACCTGCAAATTGATGAGGATGTATGTTTCAGTGGAAGTTTTGCAATTTTTTTTAAATAAAATGAATATTTTTTATTTACTTTTTGTTTGGTTCTCTATACAAACCAAAGGTAAGTCCAAGCTGTGTCCCAACCAGGGTACTCAATACCAGTAGCATTTTAGCCACAGTTAAAACTAGTTACTAGATATGGTAGTTGTATTGATATCCTACAAGAAAAGAACACATCTGATCTAGAGAATTTAGAAAGTAGGAACTTACCAGTCATCTTGATAATGAAGGTACTCATTGTCATGATTGTAAAGAATCCCGGGCTGGTTTGGGTCTTGTACAAATCTCTGCACAGTTGATCGAGTGAAAAAGCCACCGTCTGGAGTTTTTATTCTCCAAGACAAATTTCCCACCAGTTTGTTTGATTCTGTATAGAATTCGTGCAATTGGCAGTCAAAAGTATCAAAGGTAGGATTTAAACCACCAGTTATGAACCACTTCCCACTAAAATCTGCAATGTTGAAGTTCTTAACCAGAACAGCTGGATCAGGGATAGGAAATTCCCCCAAGTCAGATTTCTGAGGCACACACTTTTTTCGTGAAACAGCACACTCATTAAATTCATCTACCACATTGTTTTCAAAGAGGTCCCCACATTTAATCTACAAAAGTTGGATGCAAGAACCATATAAGCCAGATATTACATCCTTAAGTGTAAACAGATGACCCTGTAGCTGTAGGTGTCATGAGAAACATGCATAAACTAACCTGGCATTCAGTCTCATCAGGGCGATTGTTGCAGGTCTGGAGGCAAGCAATATTAGCAGCACATGATGGGTTGGCAATGCATTTTGCAAGTTCTATCCTGATATTAATAATAAAACCCAGAGAATCAGATAACTGAGAAAACTAGTTTATCAGTATGAAGTTGAATCTGAAAAAAATAAAATCAACTACAGTATATAAGGAAGTCTATATGGTCAAATCAATTTTTTCCTAGAAATGTTTATATTAAGAGAAAAAGAATACCAAATTGACCTTTTATTTTATTTGATGAATATGAGCCCAAACCAATGCCTATGCAAATCTAACAAAAAAGAAAAGGAAACTAATGAGGCAAGCCTGACTAATAACTTCAAGAACAATTTTCATAAAATTTGATGGCATACCTGCACTCCTTTAGCAAGCAAGTGCAAGTTTTTAGAGCATCAGCAGCTGTGGCTGATGGAATCACCAGGAATGCACATACCAGCACAGCAATAACTTTCATTAAATGTAATTGACTCCATTCTTTTGGGACCTTTGATATAGTTGGCACTGAAATCTCAGATGCTGCTTTTGCCTTGGGCATGAAAAGGAAAAGATAAAGGTCACAGAATCAGAAAATTGAAATACCATGCAACTATGCATTAAGTAAGCATGATTACCTCAGCTACTCTTGTATTACTATGTGCCGAAGAGTTCTTCTGTCTCCTGCCTGAGAGCCTAACTGTCCATCTTTCTTCCAAACTGAGGTAAGTTCTACAAGATATAATCAACTGGGAGTTCCTTAACTTTCTTCCTCTGGATTGAAACTTTGGCAGCAGCATGCCATACAAATAAATTGCCCCCATGGTATGGAATCTTCTATCACTGGTAAGTCCTGATCTTAGACAGGGAAGACAGATACCATTCCCAAGGGAAATGTGTGTTAAGCGTGCACCCAGTGGCATATTACCGAGTCTTGTGGAGTTTGGACTTCAAAATTCAATCTGAACATTGTTGACATGTATATGGTAAAAAAAATATAGAATCTAAAGAACATATACAATGTCAAAATCTTCAAGTAATATATAAAGCTGTGCCAAATGCACCTTATATTCTGAGGAATTCGGATGCTGTGAAGGATCAACTCTCAATCACCGCCATGCCTAAACATTTGAAATCAATTTCATTTCCATCAACTTTGAGTATTTAAAATTAAAGGATAGTCATTTACAAAATACCCTTTTATAACGTTTACACCAGTTAGAACCATACTAGAAGCAGATATGATAAACTAACAAATCTAAACATTAGCCCATCTCCTATCAAGTACAAAGCAAATTAAGTAAGAACTACTCGATTTCTTGATATCAATAGAGACTGGGAAATATGAGATAAAGAAAAACTGACTAAACCTGAAAACATATTGGACACCCATTTGACCCAGGCACCTATTACCAATTAGTTAACCAGACCCATTTTCTATATTCAAGTTCATGGTGGATTTAGCATAAATCCCAGAACCCCCAGTAGAAGAATTGCAATTCTCCTATATGGCAAATTTAGCTTAAATTCTTGAATACCCAGTCCAAGAATTATATTTCCATCACAGAGCAAGTAGAAATTGATGAACTTTATCCCATTTCTGTTAAACATAGAAATTTGAAGTTTCCAGAAAGAGAAGTAGAGACGTTACCTTAGGGATTGGAGCAGAGGTTTACTGGAGGAGAAGGAAGATCTCATGGCAACTCTAGTTTGATGCAACAAAGAGATTAATTAACGAAGGTAGAAAGAGCGGCAACGTGTATTGAAGTTGGAGTTTGTCCGCAAGCAAGCATATGATAGGACAATGTGTGGAAACTAGCCCTCTTACGTATTTCTTTTCTTTCATTCCTTCAAACGTTTATTAATCATTTTAAATTTCGAGAATATAATATATATATATATATATATATAAACATCATTTCAATTTTTTTATGAAAAAAATTTATAAATATCAAAGGGGAATAGCCCAAG